AGTGGAGAGCCCTTTCGACAACACCGTCCGATCTAAATGACGACAAAATAAAGGGCTCCACATTTTCACCATACTGTTTTAATCCTTTTCCTTAATCTCTTCGTCATGCTAATATGATAATGACAATTTAGATTAATGCATATCTCTCTGTCAAGCTCTACGTTAATAGTGACTGACTAATAAATTAGTCTATTTAGAACGAAACACAATATGTCAATAAGTTTATTAAATAAAATAGAGAATAGAATATCCATTTCAACAATATCATTCCCTTGAATTATATCATCACATTTATCGTCACAGTTTACATATAGTAAGTAGTTTGTCGAAGTGAAAATTCTCTTCACTAAACTATCTTTACTTAACGTTTAGTGACACAACAGATTTTGTTTCAAGAAGATTATTTTTTTTTAAAAAAATTCATCATATAATATTAGTTACCTACAAATAATTAGTACGTTAAATTATATTGGTTCTGGAAGAGAATGATGATGATCAGCTAGAATACACTAAATGAAGTTAAATCTAGGCCTGAATTAGAGATGAACACTCTGTGAGGCAGGAAATGAATGTGAGAAAGGGAGAGAGAGAGAGAGAGAGAAGTTAAGTTAGATCTCACCAAGTCATCAATCCGATTCATTGATTGTATATTATGAAATCTGGCAGTTCTTGTTCTGTGTGTTTCCAAATTTTACAAATAATTTTTCCAGTCAGTATAATCATTTTATTCTTCCTCTTTTAATTACTCAATTAATTACTTTACATTATTTTCATAATCATTCAATACTACTACTCAGCTAATATCGTTTTATTGTTGTAAATTTTTTAATATATATAAAGAGAGATAGAGATCCATGATGAAAAACTAATTGAAAAGAAATATTCCTTCATTCTGTTCGTCTTTTGTTAATCTAACCGACATAACCATAACCAGACACGGTATCAATATACTGAATCTTCAGACTTCCCTGTTATTATGATAACACGGCATTATTGAATTGAAATTTAATTATCCGCATTTCTAAAATTATAGCGAGTCCATAATATAAAAATGGGTTCTAATCGATCATAATTAATCCTAAACTAACTCACTATTGACATTTTATTCCGTTACAGATCATAAGTACATACATACTTTTGTAAAGATGATAAATTTGACTGAACATCAGTTCAATGATCTTCATGTTTCACATAGCTCATTAAAAAATCCATGGTGGTCTAGCTTCAATTGACTCATGATTTCAACAAGTCAAATCATTTCAAAATTGACTATTTAATTTTTAAATTGAACGTTTTTTAACATTTATATACATATTAAGCAGAGATGGATGGTGGTTAGCACTGGAATCCAAGATGCGTGTTTCCTCCCATTTTGGACTCGTTAATCGTAGGTAACTGAATCTCAAAGTTGATGTTCACCAGTTGACGAGTCTTAAATAGGACAAAAAATGAGTCCTGAATTTTACTGCTAGACATCATTAATCTCTTTCTATAATGCTTATAACTTGATGGTAATATCGAGGTAATTCTCACAAGATCCACATAAGCCAAAAAAAACAACAACTGGTCAATTGTAGTCACAAACATTATTGGCTTGATTCAAGTGATCAATACAAATTTTATGCAAACATTTTTTCAAGTTTAACCACCCAATATGGTGTTTTCGATAAGGCCTAGCTTGTTACCGACCCTCCACCCGCAAAAACATTTATTTACTTCAACTCGTCAATACAAAAAATATATATAAATAAAATAATAATTAACAATATATGCATTAATAAATCTCTCAGTAACTAAATTAATTATGATTTGATAATTGCAAGTAATGATTAGTATAGAAAAATGGAAATAAATAAAATATTTAGAAGTAGAAGGAGGATTTGTAGAGAGTCTAGTTCCATACTTGAACAAAATAGCCGTTCACTACATCTATGTTTTCAGTAGTGGTCTAGTTAAAATCAGTGTGTGATCTAAACTATGAAAACAAATATTTTATTCATATACGTTGAATAACCAGAATAAATCAAGATCGTAGTGTATAATGTGGACACTCAAACACTGATTATGCAATGAAATTTATGATTTCCATGTGGAAACTATTTATGTGATTATCTGATTGGAAAAAAACAGGATGAAAACTAATTTTTAAAAAATAATAATGTAACGATAACAACAACATCAACAACGCGAAAACTGACAAAATAATAAACGACAGTCAATAAATCTGTTGTTGTGGTTGTTGTCCTTTCTCTCTCTCTCTAAAGAACACCTAGACATAATGAATCTCCTTAGAAATTAAAAAATTGCATTGGAAACAAATAAACCCATAAGTTATTATATATGTTGTTGTCTTTTTCACTGTGTATTTGATCTCCAACTGTGAATCAACTAATTACTACTTTGCATTGAAATCACAAACTAGTCAATGTTAGATCACCATTAAAATCTGGGAGCACTGGACGCCCACTTCGTTCTAGTATGAGACTTCTCAGCAATGTGTAACCACCGTTCCGAGAGTTGGAAACGTACTCAGCACGTTCGATCTTCCTTGAAGTTGCTTAACCTCCAGACCACTGAATTGTCATCCAACGATGTTAATATTTAACTTCAATCAATCTATGATTGTTTCGCCAATAGAGAAAATCATTATTTTTTTCTTGAGTTCAATGTATTACAAGTATTTACTAGTTTGAAATATATATTACTATGTGATCTGTTGTATCATGATCAGTGCAATGGCCTGTAGGAAAAGTTCAAAATATAATTTCTAAACAACTTAATATGAAACTACTTAGGATTCTAGTGAATGTTTAATTTAATCATCTCAAAGTATTGAGATTGTTACTAGACATGTAATCTCTGAGTTCAGTCTATCAAATGTAGAATAGTGAATGTAAAATACCAAGTTTTAGAGTATAACAAAGCAATTATTTAATATTTCATAAATTACAGTTGTGGTGTGTGCTACTTATATTGATATAAGTAGTATAGGACGCGAGTTAAAGAATGTAATGTCTGGCAGCAGAATATGGGGAAAGATCAACAAAGAGCGGGAACGCAATGTAATTTGTAAGGAAACGCATGAGCCATGAAATGTGAAACAATGGATTGATGATTACAACAGCAACAGTCCGGTTTGATATGATGGAATATTTTGCAAACCAACGATTTACTATTTGGTTTTTCTATTTTACCGAGTAGCTCTGTAATTTGTGTACTACATACAATTCGATTGTCCCCACCCGTGTTCGCCTTCGCTACACGGTGATTCCTTCGTTGAAATAAATTTATTAAGGTAAGTTTTATGTTGAGAATATTTTTAAAACTTTACAATTAACTATCTCAATCTATGTTTATGCGCTTAATTTATAGTTAACACAAGAACAATAGCCTTTGTAACATTGAATTACGAAACCAACTGTTAGTTAAAAATGTTAAGTTAATATAATCTATTTTGTAAAATAATCATGAGTATTATGATACTCATTTTATGATCTGAAATTATCAAAAATGGTTACTTTCCTGATCATTCGAAAACTAGAACACCATACGTTAATAAGTACTGATAATCAGTAAATAACTATAAATGACGTAGTTATTACTAAGGATTAGTTATTGCTAAAAGAGTATGATATAATGTTATATATTAGTGTTTGATAGAACTTAGTAGCCTACTAAATAATGAGTTTATGTTTTTGAAACAATCGGCACTGACTTTCAATCTGACTATGAGTATCAATACATGTATGTAGATCTACCTATGGGTATGGGCCCCTAAAAAAACCACCTGCTTCGGTTAGGGCGTCCGGGCAGTATCCCAGCCCTCAAACAAATCAAATGATTTTTGGGGCGCATATATATTTGGTGTCTCCTTGTACCAATGTTTATGTCTTTAAATAAACACATAAGATATACTTAATTGGCAAGTCGTAAACAAGGTAAAACAAATCTCTTGAAGATATAATTTATTCCATTCTTTTATATTGGTTATTAGATTCTCCCCGTTGATGTTACGAACAATAATTGATCAGTACGCTCTGTGAAGACTACCTCGATATTGCCACTAATTTACAGGCATTTAAACAAAATTGAATGATAACTAGTGGGGGAATCCAAGACGCGCGTTTCGTCTTATTTAAAACTCGTCAACCAGATGTACCTGTTTATAATTTATTTGCTTTGCTTTACTGAAAATAATACAGTAAGAAATGAGCTTCAAATAAAAATGTATATTTATAAATTAATTATTGTGTTTTAATAATAAACAAAGACAAATTGACAAAATAATTAACAACTTCAGTGTCTCACAAATAAGTATCTCATTTATTTCCCGATGAGATTCAATGTTTCAAGGTATTTATTACGATAATAAATAAAAAATTACACGTTATCTACGAAATATACTTTGTGTACTCAACTTTGAGTTACAAATTTAGTGTAAAAGTTAATGATATAGCATGATTATCTAGACTGAAGTCGGTGTAATGGGCTTTGAGCAGACAACATACTGGCTGAAAATCGATATTTCTTAACCATTAAACTACAGTTTCATATTAACAGGTTAATGATTCAATTTTATATGAACATCAAACACATTCTGGGAAAGTACCATGCGGATGTTCATACTGGGATGTGAAGGCTGTACGGTTCTATCCAAACGTCAATAATGAAATGCTTTGGTTTCATGTATTTCAAGTCCAACACTTAAGCTTAAGGCTTTCAAGCCTCATAACAAATTTGTTACCTATAGGTAAGGTGAGTTGGAACGCGTAAGAAACGAATGGGGATTATACGTCTGTACCATTAGAACTCGTATCACTTTGTCTCATGATGAGACATTATTACTGAGCTTTTCAAGGCGCGACCGATCTTCCGTGAGACTGAAATATCGATACTGATGAAAACATATTGCTTCTGATGTCGAGTTACCTACACTAGTAGCCGTATTGCAACGCGGTCAACAGATATTCATCACCAATAAGAGTGAACACAACATTGGTCAGTCGGTGATCAATGCATTTAATTTTTTTTCTTCGACAAAGAAAAAATATTGAACAAAAAACAAAATCTATCATTTGAAAAGTTGATTTTATGGAAGAACAAACGATATAAATATGCATGTAACAAGATGAAGAATATGTACACAAAGATATCAAGTAGGAAATGATGTTTGGAAATAGTGTATTCATGTTAATAACGGTTTGATATTTAGCAAGAAAAATATTATCGAATAGAAAGATTTAATTTTTCAGCTAAAACTTGAGCAATATTCTCATGTAATGGCCGAACGTCATCCACTGTCAAAGTTTTATGTTGATCTCGATAGATAAAACGATAGCAAAGACTTTGTTGTCCGGTTTTAGGATCATTGTATGAATCGACCAAACGAATCTACATGTAAGTGGAAAATGAAAATAATTCTGATGAAATATTAATAATTAGGAATCTAGCTACTCACTTACAATGTCAGTAGTATAAATTCTACGACAAATTTAACTAGTAGGCTAGGAATGTTGTCATTATGGGTTTAATCTGTACAGCCAGAGCTATAATTTTTATTTGTAAAACTGTTTAAGTGATTTGTAGGAAAAATGATTCATCTTTACCTGTTCTATGAGATCACCAGCTTCGGAACGTACAATATCGAAAATATCCCGTTCAACTATCTTAATTCTATCTAATCCATCAGGATTGGAAGACAAAGATGATGATATTGATTGAGAGTTGTTTAACCAAAATGAAAGATCCAATACACATGGAGGAAATATACTGACTGGCTGATATAATACAAAAGAACAAACAAAAATCGACACATTGATAATACGTACTGAAAAACTTCATTTTTTCGTCATAAATATGAAAATTTGTTCATACCAAGAGGTCAAAATCATATTCTATCATATTCATATTTTACAGGAGTTAAAAATCAACGCTGAAATCGAGTATAAGTTTGCATAGGTCAGAATTAGGATACAGTTTCTGAATGATAGTTAATAATATTAATATTACCACTCAAATACTTACTACCTGAACCGAAGAATATGAACTGGATTGGAATCAAAGATTCAGTGGTTAAAATGCAAATAGACCTTAAGAAATAAACTACCGATCACAAGACCATTTTGTTATTTTCAAAGATACTTTGTCCCGTAAATTTTTAGCCAAATAATTAGTCTCATGAAGAATATTACTAATATTGACGTGTGGTCGAGGATGATAACGATTGGTTGTCTGCTTAGTCAGACATGTAGATGGTCTGATAGGTATCAGATGAATTATATATATCTCCCTATCCTTATTATTATTACTCACTTATTATTGATTGTTCATTATTGTTGGATTGTGTCGGGTTTTTGGTGTGGATATATATTTACGTTCTAGTCAGGCTAATCACGTGTTCTTGATCTGAGTTGTGTTGAAGTCCTGTAGAATAGATACTGGGAGGGAATCTAGTGTATATTTTTGTCTAAGGTAAATTAACGTCCCATACGTGGAAACGTGGAAACCCAAACGTTATAACATTAGACAAATTAAAACCGAGCGTTATAACAAATATACAAAACATTTTTAAATGATAAACACAATGAATCGTGATGCATGTCGATTGTATAACATGTTTCCGACAATTGATGTAAATATTCGCTTAATATTCGAATAATAGTATAGGTTGTGTCTTGTTATTGGGGTTCAGTACGTCCAATGATATTACAGATTTGGGAACGAAACCGATTGATTTTTTGCTTTTTTGATTTTGATAGAAAAAGCTTACAATATTTTATTCATGTTGCTATTTTAGGTCGATTTCTCTTCAGTATAACTTCTAACTATAGACTATTACAACTTTTAAAGTAAACAATACTGGTGCTTGTCATACTTCGCTTACTATTATTAAGAGGTTAAACTTTACATAATCTGACCGAAAATAATAACTGAATGAATTTTTGAAGTATCATTACAACGATACTCATCATCTAACAACAAATAACCCAAAGAACCAATTGTAATGAAGCTAGCCTAGTATTCTAAAATTTGATCAATGATACTTGTCGAGCGGTAGGATTAACCTAGACTTGAGGTCAAAATAATCTTAACATCGAATGGCCTGGAGATACACACGCCTTCTTCAATCTTCAGTTTCGAGTTGAGATAAGAGAATACAACAAATAAACTTATATTATTGTATTTCAGGCACATATTATTTTTAATTTAAACACTCATTAGTTTGTATACATGAATTATGAAAGCACACAATGCACCCTCAAATAAGGAATTATACTTTACACAAATAATCATGTCATTAGCGGTAGAGAGCAGGGTTAGAAAAAATGAATAATTAATTGGCAATAATAAGAGAACAATAAACTATACAACAATAGTTAATTGATCCGATGGAAGTTCACAATACAGGAAATACAGAAACACAATAATCCAGTTATCTCAATATGATAAAAGTATGAATAATAATAGTCTGTAAAATAGTTTTAACTTCCTTAATACTCTACTACAATAAAAACCACTTTGTAGTATTATGAGATAAACAAAACTATACACATAATAAATAGTTCTTAAGATTAAGTCTTTAATTCCCACTTCTACTCAGTGACTTGAAGACTATGAAGAGAAAAAAACGCAATCAAAACACACATGTCATTAGTAAAGATTTATAACTTCATGTCATTGTTATTTAGGATTATAATTGATCAGTTTCTCTTGCTATATATGTATCTTAAGTGGATTGGTTTCATATAGTGTTCTGTCACAAATTTCATTATATTTGATATGTATTTAGAAGTTGAATACAGGAAGCGAATTTCATCCCATTTAGACAACACGTTTGAAACGAAAGGTTTTGGGTTCAAGTCTCATTGTAAACACCAATAAAGAGATGTAGGTACATCCAGTAGATGAGTCCCGAATAGTATGAAACGTGTGTTCTAGGTTTTAAAGCTACTCGCATAAGAATTATATTTAAACACATGTCATCAGATGTGTCCAGAAGAAACGGATATGATAACCCAATTATTTTTAGTCTCTCATGAATCTAGGTTAATAATCCATGACAAATTTCATTTACCAATTAAATTAATCTCCACAAAACTGCCCAATAATTAAACTTAATAAGCCAAACAACTACATTAAAAACTTTAGAAAAGCGACTATCTACCTTATATTTGATTGGTGCATGAATATCATCAGTTATAAACTGATTCAAAAATCCTTCATCTTTTGACCAAAATAATCGAATATCTGGTATTTCGTATAACTGCATAGCCCAACGTTCTAAACCAAGACCAAAAGCATAACCAACTTTATTAGGTATTCCAGCTTTCGAATAAGAAAAAAAGACAAATAACGATCAACAAACTGTCGGACAGGAAGCAATAATAATGTAGTATTCGACACCAGCATTTCGTGTCATAAATGGGTTATCTTATATTTAGAACAGATGCAATGTAGCTAGTAGTAGAATCTAGAAAGTTTTTCATCCAATCGTAAATTAAACTAAAATTCATATTCATTGCATAAGGGAGTAGCCAAGTGAACAACACACTGCCGTTTGAACTAAAAGATACTGGGTTCGAATCCCGGGGTGGATATCAACTCTGAGATGCATATAAGTCCGGCTGAAAGACCCAAATAGGAGAAAATGAGCATCCTGGATTCCATTGTTAGCCATGCTCCATCTATAAACTTGTGTCATACTGGCTATATTAAGGCAATCAGCACAGAATGAATATACTCCAACAAAGACCAGTTAGAATTCAGTCAAAATATCAACAATGGGATAATTCGAAAACCATTACAAATTGGATTAAGTGGGTTACTTTTTTTTACATTAATCAATCGTTTGTGATCCGTTGGTGTTATTTGCTTCTTTTTACAGACAAAGCATGCACAAAATACATGGAAATGAATCGGTTGTAAAAAACCCTTAAAATCTTCCTGAGTTTAAATTCAATTGGTATTGTTTACTTGAATCGTCCCATTGATGTTTAGGACTGCAATTGATCAGTCTCTTATCGGCATATATGCATACTGTATATATTGCCTTGATATTGCTTTAATTCACAAACATTCTAAGCAAAGACGGATAGTGGCTAGCAGTGAAATCCAGGACGCGCATTTCGTCCTAATGGGGACTCGTCAGCTGGATGTGCCTGCATCTCAAAGTTGATGTTCACTCTGGGATTCGAACTTAGTGCCATTCGCTTCAAACACCATCGCGTTATCCACCTAGCTATTGAGTTCTGATAGCCACTTGCTTGTGCAATGAGATGAAGTTTGAATTGATTTCTAAGTTGAGAGCGCTAAAATCTAGCCACTCTCTATAATGACATTTACTTTTGTTTCGTTGATTCACTTAGATTTTAATATCATTTTGTCCTAAATCCTACATGATCAATTTAAAAACTACATATCCAGTTTGGCTATAAAGCAATATTGCTTTTTGTAAATAGACAATAAAATGCTTCATACAAAAAAACTAATCTTTCATTTCTGATGAATTGAATGTTTTAATAATGATTAAATTGCTATCCACTTAGGTCAGCATAATTTGTAGTTTATTTTCCGATCTTAACATTTTTAAGTGAGTAACACAGAAGAACATAATGAAGTATTAAACTAGGATGGATTATTGATATAATAAAAATCAACATTTTTTAAAAAGGATATTTTTAGTTGAGTTTACACAATAATGAAAGCTTCATAATTAAACCAACTAGCTCAAAGAATATAATACCTGATAAAAAAATACTATGATCCAGTAATTTAATGAACAAACACTTACAACGTTCTAGTAATTCTTGTCGCATTATACCACATCCCAACATTTCAGTCCATTCTTCAGGCTTTTCACTATCAGAATTGTCATCATAGTTAGAGTAGCCAGAATTTGTTTTGATTTCTAATTCCCATGATGGATGTGTAAATGGGAAGTAAGCACTAACCCAACGTAGTTGTATGTCTGTGATTAATAATCAGGCAACACCAATAAGAAAATACTGAAACTGGGGAAGAGAATTGCTCATAAATCTATATTATGATGAAAACTCATAATTAATGCACACTACTAAATGGAGCATTTCACTGAACGAAGAAGCATAAAGATTAACATACGAACAAATTAACAATGGCTTCATAGAATGTGATATGACGATCAAGAGATTATAATCACCACCACTATATATTACTAAATCGAAGAGTCACAATTTGTTGACGCTCTGGATGGAGCTTGTATATTGAGAAAACCCAATAAAGCTATAGTGGTAAAGAAATTTATTTCTTGAAGACCTAACACGTCAAGTAGGTGGGTTGGATAGCGATAAAAACCAAAAGCAACAAATTTAAGGTTGGATAGAGAAATTTGATTGTTAACTTTACTGGAGTGAGATAGGAGTAAAATGTCGCCCTCATGGATAACCAGAATATACAGAGGTGCTGCCTTCTCATCAATGAATTCGGATTGGAAGAACATCTGGCTTGAAAATAAAGCACTTCCATTTTCCTCAACTATTTTTAATACCAGTGGTAAACCATGAAAATTTTTCAGAAAAAGGTTGTGGACGACGAAGGACCTAGAAAGAAACTGTAGCGTTTTAAAGTCAATATATCTTATATTGACGAGAGAGCAAATTAACAAAATGAACATCAGAGGAGAAATAATACCAAGTGTAATGTAAAGCTAAACACGATAAATATAGTTTAAAAGGTATAACAGAAAGAATGGGATGGTAACAATCTCAAGAATCAAAGAAGGACAAAGAATGAATGCAAATGTAGCAAATTTTGATCCATTTCTTTCAATAGCTCGAGCAATGCATTGCAACTATGGCGTGTGCCTTAACTAGGGAGTCTGAGTCTCTACCATACAGCTGACACCACTGGCCAATAATTTCATAAACTGATGTCATATTTTAATTTGGTTGGGATTATCTTTATCACGGATTAGTTCTATGCCAGATAGTATTGAGTTACAGTAAAGGATGGTGAGGCATGAAAAACATATATTTAAACAATTTCAGTAAATAAAGACTTACAGTTGTATGCAATAATTTACCATCAGTTTTGTCTAGTACCTCAAACCTAATAACTATGTGGTCCCATCATATGTAAGTAATGCTTCAAAGACAAGTATGACCAGATTTTACGGTCAAACGTCAGTACAGAAACGACTGCTGTCCAGTATACTTTCCCTCTCTGATGGGAACTTGCCTCAAAAGTGCTTTAGTTTGGTGAGAGTCAAATGGAATTTCTGTATCGGCTAGTAATTCATCGGAGACGGTGAGGTTTTGAATCAGAACAGTATTCCCAGTAGCTATTGATAAAAAACTGGGTGGTCCTCTTGACCTGCCCCCTTCATATGTATCCTTTAATAATGGGCGAGAAGAAATACAAAGTGGGAAATAAACTCATAAACAGTAACAATTGTTAGCATTATGCACCAAAATACAAATAGTAAATAGATAGAATTATAATAATACCTGGACCAAACAAAAATTTAGCCATTTCCTGTAGGAGGGTTTTCAATTCAAATTCTAGTAGCATTTTAGTCTCTGTCGTATGACTAATTTGTCTGTCAGGCGGAAGCATATATGATGGAAACACCTTGAATGGATGAACATCTGGTTCAATATATGGTGAAGACGATGGGATGTCTTCAAACAGCCGAAAACATTGAAAAGGATCAGTAGCATTTCTAAATAACTACAAAAAGGAATAATATAACTACATAATACACATGATTTCGAATTACTAATTAAAAATTTCTTACAGTTAAGATGTAAAAACTAAATACTGAATCGATCTCAATCAATAATTGATGCCCCTAGTTGCGAATTATATGAGAAACAAACGATTTTGATCCTAGCCAGAGAGTGGTCAATGATACACTTGACAATCTAGTATATCGTTCTTTCACATTCCGTCACCACTTCACGTTTTTTTCAACTAGTTCCATCCTCAACAAATAATGTACGATATGAGGTTCACTCAGACAACATTCTTAGCACATGTTCAAGCCGCCGAAGTCAGTGTTTTGACATAATGACACCAATTTAATAATCGTCAATGCGACTGAAATTGATTGATTCATGACATCGATCATTTAATTTAATTAATAACATATGATTTGAGTAAACATGGCAAAATGATGCAAATACATAAAGACAGTGAAGATGGTATTGTGGTGTATGCTACTTATGCCGACATATATAAGTAGTATGTAGCACCAATTGCAAATAAAATGCCTACCAGCAGAATATTAAATTGAAGAGAACAAGAAGGGAACTGGAGAGCAATTGTAATAAGAATCATGAATCACGTACAAGACAGCTGAAGGAAGATGCGCAAACAATGTATTTAACGTATGGTTTCCATAAAGCACTGTAATTCTATACTAAACAATAAATTGGTTTTCCCTACTAAGTCTTCGTTTACTATAGAATGAATGAATGCAACTATCTACTCAACTATAATGTAATACATTATTATTTGTAAGAATGTGAATTGTCTCACTGTTAATATTCAAGTCTAAATTTTGATCGGTCTTTCGTGAAATATAGGCATCATGTGAGGGTTGCTTTGATAGTTATTTTATTAGAATGTTTTATAGAATAACTGGACTGGATCGATAACGTACATTTCATTCTACTTGGGACTTATTATCTGGATTTACCTGTGCCTCCGGTATTGATGTTTATACTCGGACTCGAATTCGGTACTTTTCATTTCATACGCACTGACCTATTGAGTACAGATAACCACCTATTTGTTCAATAAGTATGGTATTTACATCATTATTAAAAAGGATTTGAATTATCCCATCTAACGGAATACTCTTCCTGAATTTCACTACTAATCAAAATTCTTCTGTTCTATAGTGGTGAAATAGTTTGTAAGAAATACACTGTGTGAAAGGGAAAATTGTTTTTCGGTTTTTAGAATTTACAAATTCTTACTTCCTTAAAATTTCAATAAAGTAAAGGCCTATAGTTTCTCAAAGTTCAAAATATGCTACTGTTTATTAGATCAATTTCACCATTGAACTAGCCGAATCATGGGGGATGTTTGTTTTTGACAGATCTTGTGTGTGCACTGGTGTTCTAAATGAAATAGAATTCAGTTATCCATAGGTTTTAGAAAAAAATGTAATCTATTAGGATAATAACCTGTCGTAATGACCTCCGACAACTGCTAGCAAATACTACACACAGTTGAGATGTAGGCTGAGCCCATTATATAAACAAGTGCATAGTCCTAACGTGTTGTTTAGAATCTCTTAAATCACTTAAGTTTTGAGGATGCTGGATCCTCATGTGTAACTCAGGGTAAGAAAACCAATATCACTTTAAGACAAATTTCCATTACATTAATTTACTCAGTGTAAATACTGTTCATTTTAATCGATGGATAACTGATTATCTTAAATAAACTTTGAATCTTACTGGGTCTTGGCTGACAAAACTTTGTACGGCAACTGGAATTCTCACTCCGGTTAGTGGGTTACGTGAAAAGAGAATAGGAATAATCTCGTTCACCGTGTTGGAGTTAGATTTAAGAAACAGCAAGTTAGTGCATTAACATATCATTAAGTTTTACCAAGGAGAAGATTTTGGTAATGTTATATTTCCTGAGCTGGACAGTTTATAGCTGAGAAGCTTTTATTGTCGTTTTATCACTAGAGGATGAGTTAGACTTAATTAAGAGGCTTTGGCTAGTTGAAACATTAATCAGTGACAAATACCGAGTAGTGGGGTAGTTTAATTGTTGAAACAAACAACTTTCAACCATAAGTTCCAGATTAAAACCTCACCACAGCTATTTATTGTGGCCAACTAGTATCACTAACCTTCATATCAAAAGTGTGACTGGTAGCTAGTTACACTAACAATTAACTATTTTCATGAGATGTCACAAAATGAAGGCATTGAGGAAAAACCCTTACTTCATCCGATGTAAACAGTCGAACACCTTCTAATTGATGAAAGACAGGATAATGCAGTGAATCAATATCGTCACGTCGATAAACATCACCAGCAACAAGAAAAGCATTTAAACCGGAATTGATTAAATCTAATTGATGCGCTGATGTATGACTACGTAATACAGTTGTTTCATTTAAATAATATGTATCTGTACGCAATCGACTTGGATGATCTGGTGGAATAAATAAACTGTCGAAGTTATTTCGTACTGTTACCACTGGTGATAGATGATCATATAGGCTGAATAGTGGTGTACCACCTTGATTATTATTGCACACATGACGAACATGACGCTAGTTGATCAAAAATGACGAAGGAGAAAAAGAAGACAAGTATATATGTTAGGCAAACTTAACAAAAAACTGACTGCACAACTGAATCATTTATTTAGTGTAAATAGATAGTCAGGAAAAAACTAAGATTGATCAGACTAGGATATGACCAACAAACTTGTGAAGCCATTGACTGTTAACAATAGAGTCTAAAAAGCTGGAAAGAGATAGATAGAATCAATTGAAGCCAATTAAAACATCACATTTCTACGCCTGTTTATAGTTTATTTTATTCAAATTACTTTACTTGTTCAGTTTACTTTTTTTCGAAATCTTGTTAAATCTCTGCTTCGGTACTGTTGTAAGAAGGGAAAACTTAAAATAAATTTTTCATTGTCTTCGTATAAGTACATTCTATATTATTCTACTTATATGAGCAATGATAACATATGTTACGTGGACCTCAACCAGGTAGTCTGCATCTACCTACATGGCGCAGTCCAATAGTCAAGGACTTAGTGGACTGGTGATACCTCTTTGTCTAGTTGCCCCTACTTTCTTACAACCTACTTTCGCACTAGCACATATTACCCGTTGAAGTAGTTGGTTATCGAGAGCGTAGGACCTATGAACAAATAAGCACTAACCTAGCTTACCATACCAAACTAGTATAAATTCTAACAAAGAAACTGGACCGATGGTGATATTATTGAGGGCAATCAGACATAAAGCGTGCAGTTAGAAAAGAAGGAATAAAAAGTGTGGGATAAGATTAGACCTATCGATTTGGAAGAAAACACATTCGTGGCACTGTGGTCGTTTTTGAACCATGTAACCCGTTTTGCAGATGCCAAATACGATAGTCATATGGACCTACCTTTGGCAGGAAGTCTACACATATATATCTAAGGGTAACAATTGACGACTTGATGAAGTGATGTAATTTTGGCTCACCAACCTTACTTATGACCTACTACTGTCCCTATTCTACTTGATGGACCTAAGTATTTTAAGTAAAATGATAGGTGTAGTTGTTGAAAGGTTTTTAAAATGTACACCACGTTATAATAAGCTATGTACAACAATTGAGAACTATGGTTCAAACGGTTTGACAGTAAGCATGATTTAAAACCAAAAATTATCTAGTTAATCTGAAGAGAGACAAAAAGCAAGAATATGGGAGCTAAATGTAATTCCATAAGATTGGCTGCAAAAACTGGCTAGTTAATTAGAAGGGTTGGAAATTCTTTTGTGAAAATCATGGAGAAATGTGTCGGAGTAATATTGTCTAAAATATTACCATTCACAGACAATCGACGCTTGGTTGGAGCTCGTAAGTAACAAACACAGGTAAAACCATGCTGGTTTCAGAACTGGATGTGATCTGTAGATTAAATGTTCATCGTTTGTCGGGTTTTTAAGTACAATGATAATTACTGACACTCAACTAAGGTTGTACCACTTGACTTTAGAACCGTATTTGACGCAGGTGATCAGCAGGTTTTGTGGCAGTAGCTACGATAAACGGTGTATCCTACAAGTAGATTCACATATAAACTTGGAGTGCCCAATAGAAAATTGTAGCGAACAATTGGGGGAAGGTATATTGAACTAAAATACGAGTAAAAACTACACAGGTTTCTGAAAAACAACGTATAATGATGCAAATCAACCGATAATGGCTGTAGGTATGAATCCGGTATGCTATTTGTCGAAGATATACAGTAGTAGTAAAAGATTTATTTTAATAACTTTACTCTAAAATGTATACTGCCCCACAAATGCCCTAGTAAAGCCGAGAGTGGGGAAAGTCAGCTCTCTTTCTCTCTTGAAGAGCTCTTACGTGGCCACATGCATACGACCACTGCCAGGGACGTCCTACTCACTGTCTTCTCGCGGCGAGGGTATTGTTTACGAAATTGAGAGGACGAAAAGCGAGTGTCTGGCGCTTTATATATATATATTACTGGAGACAACATATGTAACAATTTTCAACATAGAACATTATACTTACCTTAAACATGAAGTCCACGATACGTTGTTTAATCAAATTTAAAGGATGATGTTGTTGGTTATGCAGTGACCTCTTTGTAAGTTCAATTATATGGGGAGTTAAGTTATACCAAGAATCTTTGACAGTAGAATGTCCACCAATAGAAACCCAACTAGAGGTTGGATTTTCAGCAGTTGGTTGTAAACTTTGTTTAGTCTATTAGGAAAAGTACAGTAATGATTAAAGTAGGAAGTAAAACTTTACACTTACACAATTGATGTAGAAATATATGATTTTAGAAAGTGATGGGTGAACATTGTTAGTCTAGCCAAAGACAATCAACGTTAGTACTGTCGCGTTTTGATTGCTTGAGTGAATGAAAAGTGAAAAGAGCTTGAATTCGCAATTTGTGAGGACAATATCACGTAGGTAAAGTTAAGATTGATCTTAACGAGCTTTAGTGACCAGTACCAAAGTTTAAGAAGACTTAAATTCGAGGCATTACATTGATAATCTATACTTACTTAACAATAGCAACGTGGGGGGTAGTTTAGTGATTAGAGCATTCAGCTTTACCAAGTAGGGCAAAAGTTTGAGTTTTGGCTCACCTACTTTGGATGTATAGGGAATTTTCGAAGCAGAGAGAGGATTTCCCTCTCCCTTCACCATACCAACAGATTTCAAGGCAATGATTTCGACTAAAGTCACAGAGTACTTTGAAGGACTACTCAAGTGTTACATTGTCACGGTAACTTCAACCAAATCATCTTATACATTTTGGCTGGTGACTACTTTTAAAACATTATGTCAGCCAACCCACAAGACCCCCTTAATTTCTGATTAGAAAAGTCAACGGACTGATTGAAAAGACTTGTAATCTTAGAGATGCTTCATCGCTTTAGCGAGGATTATTGTACACAAAAGTGAACTACGTAAAACACATCATAATTACTGAAGTATAAGCTTATATTCAAAATATTTACTCCCGACATACTCCATATATTGCGTGAAACCCCTGAGAGTCTGAACTGTAAAGGACATTCAACTTGGCGTGGAGACTATAAGGTTGCATTGGCCGTTTATAAACTCTCCACTAAGCTTTATATCGCTTTTTTTCTGGATTTACGAACTGACTATATGATATTTTTTCCGCTAAATATTCACACAATATTGATTTTTTGTGACACATTTCTTAGTCCACTATTGTACCGAGTTTTCCTTGTGGTGATAAACAAAATCTTACTCTGAATGATCCCATTTTAAAGAATGTGGCATCAGTTGGGATATGGCTCGATTATTTAGACATCATAACAAATAGATAGTACCCAAAAATATGGGAGACGTCACTTCCATTCGTACTATAAACTTTAAGTGGTGTGTGCAATTGGTGCACACGTTGACATGTTATCTCAGGCAACACCATACATGAAGTTCCCGGCACACTAAGGTGCTTCTGCATTCAACCTAGTATGTGATGCATATGTATCTGGTGCCCTTTCGTACCACTATTTATGTGTTCAAATAAATTAGCAAATAATATTCAACCTAGTGCATATCACACTTTAAGCGACCAAATTTCCAATAATGTAGCTTCACTATATTGGCGTGATAGACAAAAATCTGTGCAAAATGACAGCTACAAAAAAATGCATAAACTTCTGTGATGTCTGATGGTCAATCTATTAGTAATGTCTTGTAATGAAAACTTAGTTTACGGAAACACTAATTAACGACGAGAGATTCGAAATATATGAATATGGTTCGAAAAGAATATATGTACAAAATAATAAGTACTTTTAACATTACTACAGTCAATATAGCTTACACTAAGTAGTCTATGGGGTTGTACACATGAACTGCGAAACAAACGAAAATAACACGGACACAAATTCAAGCGCATCAGCCTTTCCTAAAAGTAAACGGACGTGTATAAGAATATTAGGATAACATAAAGGACAATAAATAAGTTGGTTCATATAAACAGGAACAAATATCAAGTCACAGGATAGTGAAAGTCACATAGTTTCCATTGACAAACTCTGAACTATATTTGTGGAAAATATGAAGACTATTCTCACTGTCCAAAAGTATACATACCGTTTGTCTAAAAGGATGTTAAATACACTTCATTTGTAATTTAAGTGACTAATAATCACGAATGCATATAGGTGGACAACTAGAGCAGCGATCTTTAAGATAATGTTGGTTCGACCGCTTATCTGTAATCATAGTTGGAGCTCAACAGTATATGATGCAACCAACGTTTTTGGTTTGAACTAGTGAGTGAACAAATAAGTAATGTACTTTGGTCCAAAAACAAGACTCACATGAAGATGAACACAATGATATGAAGCAGAAACATTCCTTGAAAAAGTCGCAGTAATGCCATCGTTTTTGACGAACATGGATCAACAGCTTGACATCAGTTCTGAACCTGTTTCCTTTAAGTGCACTGTTAACAGATGTGAAGTAAGTTAAGTGCTTTGGCGTCAGTTAGTGTATTTTGTGAAGTGAGAACACATTTATTTACAATCTCCCAATTATTTGGAAAATTTTGTGTTTTGGGGAAGCCACAATAGAAAATTTTGAGGAAATGCAACAAACCCGAAAATACGAATTTTTGTGAGTTTGAGGAAAAACCCACAATTCCTAATAATTTTCATGCAATTGGGAGATTGGATTTATTTGCAAAAAAACACGTAACTAAAAGTTCTTCATTGGGACTTTCGAAATGACAGCAATCCAATCACATACGATTTTTGATTGGGAGGAATTTTATACAAATGTATGAAATTCGATATTGGGGAAAACTCAGATTTTCCCCAAAGCTTTTGAGGATTTCGCAAAAATAACTCGAAATTTTAGGAGAAAATCCAAAAACTAGGTAAATATCCTGGGTTTTTGTCGCATTTACTTAAAATATTATGTAGTACCTCCCACGAAATTTCCCCAAAACTGATAAAAAATCTCCCCTGACATCCAAAGATTGAAATTTCAATATTAATATTGTGTCCAGATTACTGACGACATAAAAACTGATAATGTAATGGCTGTAGCTGATATTCTTATGTAATATTTCCAGTCTTTCGTGGGAAAAATCTTGTCTCCCCAAAACTCCCGTACACTTACCCAAATCTTGAGGATGTGATTTATGTGAAGAGTAACTCTGTAGTTGAATATCCGCTGAAAGACTATCCTCAAATAGTTCAAGTGGTTTTTAGATGGAATAGAAGAAGCTTTCGCTTAATGGGCTTCCGTATCTAGTAGCGGCGGATCACTAACACATCCAGACAGGAACCCAAGTATATTGTCGATAATAAGGGAAAAAGAAATTGGTAACTCATAGTAAGATACTATTCTTAGTCCTTCAGAATGTCAGTTTCAGTTTGGAAAGGACAAGAGGCTTGATGGCCTGTGTTAGTCCTGGCAATGGTGGTCTCTCAGTTGATCCAATTTTCTTTTGAAAGAGTCGACGGATGGAGCCTCAACCAAGTGCTGAGGTAATGAATTCCACTCGTTGATGATTCGATGGGAAAGTCGATAGTCAGCTGACAAGTAATTTGTTCTGGGCTTGTGAACTTTTTCGGAGTGTCCTCGTCAGTTCTCTGTTTCGAAAGACTAGAAAAAGGAGGGCATATCAGGTGCAAATTTACCACTAAGCAACTAGAAATCTATAATCAAGTAGCCTCTAGTTCTTCGATATGACAACGGGAAAAGGTTTAGCTTGGCTACCCAAGCATCACACGGAAGCTTCGCTATTCCGGGAATCAGCTCATTTGCTGTTCTCTGAACCCTTTCCAGAAGCTCACTGTCTTATTTTAAGCAGGGGCTAGCCGCTTGTATTCAGTACTCAAGTTTAGGACGTACGAACACTGTATACAAAGTCGAAAACGTCTTAGTATCGACATGACTTAAAGCCCTACGCATTGGCCCTTAGGTTCTAAAACCTTTGGCGGTTATTGCACGGCAGTGTGCACTAGTATTTAGGTCTTGATTAACGAAGACTCTTAAGTCAATATGTGTCTGGACGACAGGTAGCTCAGTGTTATTCATCGTGTATGTGTCTGTACCTTGATGATCGATATGCATCACAACACACTTGGAAGTATTTATTGGGCAACTGCGAGGCTTGAGACTATTCAGATAATTTCTTCAGGTCATTTTGGAGTTCTAAGCTATCATCCTTACATCGTATCGTTCTCCATATCTTGACATCGTCAGCATATAGCAAGACCGAAGATGATAGGAGACGAGGAGGGCTATTTACATAGAAGAGGAAAAACACTGGCCCCAAAACTGTGCCGTGACGTACTTCACTAAGCACAGTTTCCTAGCTGGATAACTTTGAGTTCACCTGTACTTTTTGTTGGTGCCCAACAAGGAAGTCTTTTATCCACATAAATAGATTGCCTCCAATCCCGACATTTCTTAGGTTACATAACAGCCGTTTGTGCGGAACTTTGCCAAAAGCTTTGCTGAAATCAATGAAGGCGACGTCTACAGGTAACTTTTGGTCCTTAAGAGCTCACCAGCTTTCACGAGCCACTGATAAGTTAGTGAGACAAGAACAACCAATTCTGAAACCTTACTGTTTCTCTGAAAGGACTCAGTTTTCATCGAGATACTTAAACAGCTCCTTCCGAATAATCTTTTCTAAGATTTTAACAACCACACTAGTTAGGCTAACGGGGCGGTAATTCTCAGGTTTGTGTTTCGTACCTGTTTTGAAGACAGGACTTACTATGGCGTCCTTCCAGTCTTTTGGTAAAGGACCCTGCGTTACGGATAGATTAAAGCATATACTTAAAGGTTTCGCAACGAAGTTAGATAATTCCTTCAATAGCCTAGGATACAATGTCAAGTCTTTCCTCAAAATACTCCTGGAAAGTCACTTGGACTAGCTCAGCCGGTAGCGGATACTAGAATTTGACTGCTCTTCAGGACAAATTAAGATTGCAATGTTGAAAAGGCCACAAAGAAACGACAGAAATTCAGTCCAAACATAATAAGAGAGGCATTCGCCAAGTGTTTATGAATAACATGAATCTCTAGTTCCAAAGGATCATGGGCATCAAACCCAATGTCTAGTATCTGTGTGATGAGCTAAAAACGCAATACAAAATTTTTATACACGAATAAACTTGACGAATCACTGGAACAATGAAATTTTGTGATTTCGTTATCACTGGCGCAGAAGTAAGCCTTCTTCTCGCAAATACTAAAGATCATCTGCATGAACCCGTCTTCAGCTTATAAACGGCAAATGGAAAACCTATCTCCATACACGGTAAGCGATCAGTTTATCATGTCGTGGGTTTACGCAAACCTATTGACTGTATTTCCGTTGTTGAAGACGTTCCTATGCCAGTCATTGGTACAGGCCTGCAATAACACCGTAATCTGACCATCACAAACAGTTATCAGTAGACGGGAATAATAGATTATGTGTTTGTGAAACCTCATTTTCCGGTTTTAGATTATGCCTAGTCACGATTGAACATAAAATCGGTCCCCGCTTCCAAATAATTCTCGACAAAAACCCTGAACTTTTCAAAAACGGGAAATATTATTGTGTGCAACCAGCAATGCCATGTTGCAACTCGATGTTATGGAAAAGCTGGTCTAACCTTTGTCGTTCGGTTTGGTTCCCATGTTCAGATATAACCATTTTTAAATTTTCATAAGATTCAAAATCATCACTAGTAAACATACTATATGAGAAGTGCCTGTTAAAATCGCACGGTAGTGCCACACTGTTGCGAATAATTGTGCACGTGGGTCTGTCTCGCTGTGCTCGCGGAAGTCAGCTTCTGTGTATCAAGACCAGGCTTTTATATTGTTGGGCCAGAATGGAATGTATTTAAAGATGGGAAGTTAAATAGTCTTGATCCTTAGAAGTTTAGATCTCTGTTCCGTCGTAATAAAGATAAAATATACAAATGAGCAAAAAATCCAAAAAACACAAAAATAGTGTCACTATACGTAAAAATAGAGACTTAAAAATAATATATAACGTTGCAACAGTGAGCAAACACACAGTCTACCGTTTAATGTACCAGATCGTGTTATGATCATCACTAGAGATGCTGCAGGTTTTAGAGCCTCTTATTACCCGTAACACCCTTATAATCAAAGTATACCAACCCAGTCATATCAAAAGTCAGAAATGGAGGGGTTCGAAGATATATCTGGAAAGCTATTTATCTGTCAGGAAGCGTTTGGTCATGCGTCCTCACTAGATCACGAGTGAGTACGTCGTACTACGCACCTCCTACAACTGCTAGTTAGTTTAGATTAAGCTCTTCTCGACATATCGATATCCTTTCAGACATATCTTCAAACCCCTTCATTTCTGACTTTTGATTTGACTTTGTTGGTATGCTTCTATAATAAGGATGTTCCAGGAAAAAAATTTTGAAGCTCCGAGTACCTACAGCACTTCACTTTTGGACATCTCCTAAACACCTACTCAAGTTTAGCAACAACGCAAACCTAAAAGGTAACGCCCAGAATCAGGAGACATAACACAACGAAACGGACTACAGACAAATCTTCTACTCCTTAAGAGTTGTTGAATGCTGGAATTCGTTGCCAGCTGAGCCAGTTCAAGCGGAGGAACTTTGACATATTGTTGAGGACTAAAAATAATGTATTATTATGATTTATCAATTTCTCTTTCTTCTTTTATCGTTAAAATACTTAGGCTCCTGTCTGAAGTTATTGATGATCAACTGCTATTAGATACGGAAGCTTATTGAGCGAAAGCTTCTTGTGTTCCGTCCACAACCACTTGGACCATTTATATTTGCACTTTATACTGTATGTAAATGAACTCTCAAATACTGTTCGGTCCACAATGCTACTATACTCTGATGTTATAGTTTTGCGAAAAATAATAGGAGACACAGATGAATGTGTACTTCAGGCAAACTTAAATATTCTGACTAGCTGGTATAAAAATGGCTGATACCTATCAACTAGACCAAGTTTGTCTACATGCACTTTGGGGAGACAAAGGTGAGTATGTACGGCAAAGAGGAAATGCCTGTATCCGTGGTATGGTCACATAAGGATCTTAGGTTGACAGTGAGTCATGATCTTGAGAACACGACTCACTGTTGTGAGGTTTCATCCAAAAGGTTCAGAACCGTATGAACTTAACGACAGACATTCACCAATTTAGATATTATTATGTGAACTATGGCATACACAACTTTAATGAGAACTAAGCTTGGTAACTGCGTTTAGTCTGCAAGCCCCTGTTTTGAAGGTGACTCGAATATCTTCGAAAAATTACAAAAGGCAGCCGCGCGTGCGATTTCAGAACCCCAGGGTTTACTGTGCAAAGATGGGCTCGAGAAGCTAGACCTATTTGCTCCCTCCTATAGCAGATTAGGAGGGAATCTGATTTTGATGTATAGAATAGTAAGAAGTGATTTTCGATCCAATAAATCCTCTCCTTCTCTACTTAATGGATTGAGACATCCTGGAAGACATGTCAGGTGAGTTGAAACGTCAAGAACGACAAAAGTACCCATAGCATACGGCTTTTCATACCGAGTAATGAATTCTCGGGTCCCGTTATTCGAAGCAGTGGTGTCCACATATTACATTAACTCATTCAAGCGAAAACTAAACAGTCATAGAAGTTGAATAGCAAAGAGCTGACATAGGCCGTAGGCTTCTTGTCCTCACAACACATGTCTGAATCTGTAATCTTTTCGAACGGGAAGTTTAGTCCTAACGTGATTTGCATATATCAAACTTTTGCTGTGTTCTTACGGAACAAAAGTACCATTTCAGTTCTAAAGAATCTATCCTGAGCTATACGTTCGGTAGATTACTTTTTTTTGAGTTTCACTATATTTAATAGTTACCTGTGGTTTTGCCTCAGCTTACTATTCGGTTTTTTTTGTTTTTCACGTATAGACTAGTTTCAGTTTATATCACTCGTTTTGTCCATTTTTGTCCGTTTTCAGTGTGCATTTTAGTGTTTTTTTTTAAAAAGGTCTTAAGCTTTTGTAAGCATCTATAACATAGTTTGCTTCAACACCGTCATGAAAAACTCATGCAAACGTCCGGGATGCCGTTTTGCTGTCACAACTGGCATGCAGTGCGACAACTGCAAAGGTTGGTTCCACGAAGCATGCACAAATCTGACAGCAACTGCTTACAACA